ATTCCTTCAACCAGCCCTGGTCTCTCAACGAAACTGATGTGCAAGTATAACGGCCCTTACCGTGTGGTTAAACAAACTTCACCCATCAATTACATCGTGGAACCGCTTGAGCAACCCCATGATCAACGACGCCGTGGACGTGAGACCGTCCACATAGACCGCCTAAAACTGTATTACGATCCCTTTATTGTCTCCTGCCCATGAGTCACCAGGATGGCTCTTTTCCGGAGGGGAGAAAAATGTAGTGAAGAAGACGAGTGCTATTCGGATAGGCAGGGGGTATCACTCAGTCTGTGAAGAGGACGACGCTTGGTTGGCAGGGTACACAGGCTGGTTCCGCCATTGCCACTTGACTTTCGGGACCGCTCTCCTGTTTTATAAGAGAGTGCTGCTCTAAAACGCCTCATTTTATTGCGTTTATTTGCACCAGACTGGAAAGAACGATTCTCGAAGCATAGAATAACGCTTCGAAATCATGGTTGAAAAGAAAGCATGATGTATCTACTTCTTGCTCTGGTTTGAGCTTTTGGGCATATGCTAAAATAAACAGCGAGATGCATGTTCGATAAAGCCGAGAATCGGAAACAACCCAGCATTGACATGTGTGTGGCAAGAACTTTATCGAAAATAGTTTTTGTACTGCAGTGGGGTCGATATAAGGTGAGTACGATGTGGGACTTTCTGGGAATGTACACATAGAAGTTTTGCGTTGCATATTTGCACGTCTCTTCTGTTAGCAGCCGTGATGTGCTGAACTAGCTGCTGGTAAACGAATTAGTTGATGCCAGAGACCAGCAGAGACACTGAAAACAAAATATGGTAATTGTAATTGATTGTTGAGCAAATGATGCAGGCTGGTATTATTGCAACGTTTGCGCATCAGATCATATCATTCGGTACACCCCATGCAGAGAAGCACGTGTAGTGAAAGTGAGGATTAGAGAGACAAAATATTTGCGGGAGAAGTTCAACTCATTGAAATATACTGTATTTACTCGCCTAATGAAACCACCTATTTTTTTTCTTTCGTGTGGAGGCCAATTTGGGAGGAGGGTTCATTATGCAGGGCAAAACAGTTAGGGGAGTTTTAAAAGCAAAAATTTTGCGTGACAGCTTTGCTTTTGGCCCGTGCAATGCGGGACAAATCTTTTTTGTAGCCCAAAGCTCTTTTTGTTTCTCTCAATAACAAAAGCGAACGAATGGATGCCAAAGTGTCTTCCAGCTGATCTGGTCCTATGCTCCAGCACATGCTGTTTGTAACCAGCTGTGTAGCTAGCATACCGGCTGAACCTGCCCTGCGCAGCAGTTATCCGAACTAAGTTCACAACGTCAAACCCGACAACGAAAACACAGCGTCTGATGGCGCGCACAAGCGTTGCGGTAGACGTGTGTGCACAATGCGCTGTCGGTGCGATGGGTGCGGTTGCGCTTTGTTTCCTTCGAAATGGCTGACAGGCGGCGTGAGCTTTGTTTTTGTTTTTCTTTTTTTGCTTTGTTTTTGTGGAGTTGTGCTTGTGTGGCAATCAGCAAAAAGGCTTTTCCTGCATTCGACAGATGGCGGATTGCCGCAAAAGGCGCAACTTTCAAATTTTCATTGACGTCACCCGCGCTCGGGCTGCTTGCAACTGTTTAGCATGGTTGCGAAACTACGTTACGGCATTTATTGCATTGTTATTTTGTGATATAATGCTTCATTTATTGTTGTTTCAATTGTAAACGGCACCGGCTATCATACCGATATAAAATGAACAGATTCTAAAAAAAAAACGTTATTAGGGGCGAAGCTCTATAAGGCGTGGGTTGTGTGATCACCGTAAGTTTATGTAGCCACCTCTCATTAGGTGGCTACATAAGCAAAAAACAGGTGCACGCTATTGCACTTGCCTCGGTAAACATAAAAGCTCGCACAATGTCATAAAGCTTCGATATACAGATTACTTGATCATTTTCATAACAACACACCCTTTACCAGAGCATCTTCTTACGTTGTGCTTTCATCGCGCCATGCGCATGCACTCTGTCGAAAGTGCACGGAGCGTCGATGGCTTGTTAAAAATCTATGTTTTAAAGCAGTCTAGATGGTTTCGTAGCTAATACAAATGCAACCAAGGCTTGTGAAGCGAGAATAGCCTAGATAGAACAGCGTGACTCACAAGATTTGTCGCACACTTTGTATAGCTGGTATCGCGTGATGTAGTTTTATACATCACAGGATTCCGGCAGATGGCCTCATAGTATGTCCTCACCCCCAATATGACTTGTTTACAGTAGACATTTTGCTGCACGTGGAATCTGAAGTAAGGCTGCAGGTTAAAGAACCCCTGGTGGTCGAAATTTCCGAGGCCTTCACTACGGCGTCTCTCATAATCATATGGTTGTTTTGGGACGTTAAAACCCACATATCAGTCTGTTGAATTAAAAGTAATTAAATGTGTGGTGTGGCACATGTGACCAGAAAATGCAGTTTAGGCTAACTTCAAATTAACAATTCTACATCAACACTTCACTGGACACGCCCAAGAAAATCAAGCTCTTTGCCAGATTGATAGAGCTACAAATTACTGTACTCACACACAACTTCACACATTTTGCAATAATGTTCACTTCAGTAATTTGATGCGTTAACTTGTTGTTTTTATTTATTAATTCTTTGTATTTATTTACAGAAACGAAAATGTTGTGAGAGACCAGGGAAAAAAACGCTGATACAAGCAGCTTGAGGTTGTCTTGGCTACCTTACATGCGTTACAGCGCGAACGGTGGTAATAAACAAAAAACCGAAAAATGAAATGCACTCATAATTTACTGCACATGAATATGTTTGTGCAAAAAAAAAATGTGCTTGCATAAGCATTATTAAGGAACATAAAAAATACTCAAAAATATATTTTCCTTTACAAAAAAAGAAAAAGAAATAAACTGCGTTGTTTGAGAGACAAGTTCATGATCAGAATATTGTGGTAAAAAGTCTCCATAGCTTTTAAAATGAGAATTCTGAAATGTTAAAAAGCTTCTCTCTACTGATTCTATTAGGAAAGCTGGTTGCGTGAACCGAAGCATTTGTTGACCGTAGCTAGTGCGACATTTTTTAATTTGCCATTTTTCAGGTTTGTGTATACTACACATTATTAGGATGGCCTGTAATCCTGCTAGCGTTTGTAGAGCACTAGATTTTTTTATTTAGCTAGATTTATATAAACTGGACTAAAGGTTGAGTGGGAATATAGGTAGACCCTCCAAGCTCAGGTTTCCGGAAAAGAAAAAAAGGAAAACAACCCCAAATTGCCGAACTACATTTATTTGCGAATCGGGCGCACCACACCCCGATCGTATGAACTCCCCTCAACCACCATCGCAACTGTTCATATTCGTCAGACCAAGCACCACTGTCTTCTGAAGACGAGAGTTTGTCGCTGGCCGCCTCCCACAGTGCATTGTCTTCCATGCCGTACAGCAAAATGCTGATAGGAACATTTCTTAAAAGCATTTCCTACCATGAAATCTGGCAAGAAAAGCCAGGCGGAAAGTACCCAGCCACAAGCCACAAACAGTCTCAAGCGGAGGCCTCTGTAGGCGGCCCGTCGGTGTTTCTGGGTTGTCGCCAGACATCCACTTTTGGTACTCCAGCCGCTTGGGGTCCTTGAACGGCTTGTTTAGCACAACGTCGATTGGTTGCAGGGGTGGACGTCATACCACCTGGTATCACGGCGCGGTCCGTTTTTTCGTCGCCCAGTGCGCGCTTGACAGCGTCGGTTAAGTGACCACAAAACGCATCTAACACCAGCATGCTGCAAAGACGCAGCAATGCACCTGGCTGACGGTTCCAGACTACTCGTATCTGTTCGAGCATCAGTGGCCTCGACTATGTATCCCTTTTTCTTGACGCGAACGACAACATGGGGTGGGAACACTTCCTTGGGCATTGTTTTACGTTTGAAAATGTTGAAGGGCGGAAGCTTCCTACCATCTGCTATGCATTCCAGCATGACGGTGAAGCGTGAGTACTCGTTGCCAGTGGACAACAGCTTCATATCCTTGGCGCCACACTGCATGATGATGGTCGATGAAGGTATGTCAAACCACATTGGGGTCTCATCGGCATTGTCAATCTGCCCCATCATGTAGTTGTTCTGCTTTCGAAGCCGGTTCACAAAGCGCTGAAAGTACCGCTATATAAGACGAGGGGCGACTTTAGCTCGTTGTTTTATTGAAAATATCTCGACTTATATTCCGGCGTATACGGTAGATTATAGTTAAAGATGGACTTCACGCGGACAATGTTGTGTCTTATGAAGAGGTAACTGGTGTTTGAGAGGTATGAAACCTTGCATGCTAATCAAATCACGTGTTTCTGTAAAACTGTGAGCTTGTCAAATTTCATACTATCGATCCATAATGAAGTATTGGTACGGACAGAGAATTATACAAGAACATGTTGATGCTTATAGGGCATTGAAAAGAGAAACATATCACGTCTTTCGGGCTAGGTAGTTTGCTAATTAGGTGATTCATGGGGTCATCCCATGTCGTGTGTTCATTGAAAAAGACTCCTACAGTTTATTGATGGTACAAACTAAATTTCTGCATTATTTAACGTTGTTGGTGCTAGTTGAATGGTCTTGTTTCGGGGTCGAAATGATATTGCCTTAGTTTTGCTAATGTCAATTTCAAGTGGGTTTGAGTAGTCCAAGAATTTACTTTTCGATAGTGCTTCGTTTTCCTAATAACTGCTTTTGTGAGTTCCCTAAAAAAATTAACAGGTGTCATCTGTGTATGTAATGAATTTGAATAGCTACAGTCAAGCTGTTGCCTGTCTTTCCCTTCTTCGTTGTAACTTGAGCTGCACTATAGCAGTACGACAGTGCTTTGCGCAGATTTGCCCAACCTGCAGTACTTGTAATGCAACAAGAGGTGACGCAGAACCCAGCAGTTTTTCTTATGTCGGCTCTACTCTTGAGCCCATTTAGGTGGCCTTCGTGTAAGTATGACCTGTTTGGCAGCTCGGGAGAGAACCTGTCGTGCGTGGCCATCTTCTTCCTCTGCTACTACTTCCTGCTGGCAGCCCTGTGCTGGTTGGTCCTCCTGGCCTACGCCTGGGAGCACCGGCTGCACCAGCAGAGCTCTTCCTCCTCCTCGCTGCTGCAGGCCAAGGCCGCCTACTTCCACCTGGTCGCCTGGAGCGTGCCCTTTGTCCTCTTCATCATCGTCATGGCCCTGGGGCTGGTGGGTGCCATTCATTTGGACAGTTGAGCTCAGGTTTCGGGTCGGGTGTACCGTCGTGTCACTTTTCGATGTGCCACTCTGAGAGTGAATGATACGTTGCAAAGGTATGTAGCACATCTAGCTAGCAAATCGTGATCATTTAACTCTGTTAATTTGAGCTTTTCTGCTGACTTTTGTAAGTTAGTATTTGTAAGTTTGCATTGTTATGAATATAGTAGTCTGAAATTTAAAAATAAGCGCCTCAACGCTTCTAGGGAAAAGGTTTTGCCACGCAGTCATTACTCGGCATAACACGCTGCGGTGGGAAAAACAACAACAGCAAAAAAACTGGCAGGGGAGGGGGGATGCGAAGCTGGATCATGGCTTATCTCTTTTTCCGGTGTGCCAGTGACACTGGCAGACTCCAAAGCACGTGACCTGCCCACAAAACTTTTACAGACCTACCTGCCTCTCTTACATTCTACACATTTTAATCTTGTTCATAGATCTTGTCTTGTCCCTTCTAGTGCTGTTTATTTTAAGTATTGTGGGGTCTCGAAGTGGAGAGCTCTACACTCTTAGATTGAACGGACACAGTAGGCACGGTTGGACCGAACCAAAACAATACATTTATTTAACTGCTTTTGGATCGACGATATCGTCAGCCGAATTAATACACATCAATTGCGATCGACACGCTAAAAGAACCTGACACAATATTCCACAAGCCCGCAATAACACATCGTAGTCATTTTCTCAATCAATCGTGTCACCGTGAGGAAAGTACTGGACACTACCTCTAAAAGAGAAATTGGCCACTACCCAAGAAGTCGATGCTGTGGCACTAATGCTAAGAGTGCTCTTACAACCATTCTGAAAGCCAAAAAAGAGCTGCAGAATAACGCACGCGGCTTTGCTCCCAATTTGGAAAAGCTTAGGGAGGCCACATACTCAGATCTTTGAAAACGCCGTTTTTCTTTGACTTAGGCTTTCGCAGAGCTCCAATTTACCAATAAATGGGTCAATCCTATGAGAGAAAGCTGAAGAATTTCCTCACGCTTTGGAGTTGAAGGTTTCAAGGGCAGCGATGGCTGGATTTTTTCATTCAAGGAACACCATGGTCTCTCTTTCAAAACACTGAGCAGTGAAGTGGCAGTGGTCGATGAAGCTGTTTCTCTGACTGGCGGCAGACTAGACTTCAAGGCCTGCTGGCTGATTTACACAATGCCAACGAAATAAGGCTGTTTTTTAAGCGCCTGCCCGATCAAACCTTGTGTTGCAAGAGAGAGCGTTGCATTGGCAGAAAGCCCAGGAAAGAATGGATAACTGCCATGGTTTGCACCAATATGAACACAAGTTACAAGCCGGAACTCTGTGTTGCAGGCAAATCAAAACATCCCAGCTGCTGGAAAGGTGTCAAACTCTCCCAGTTGCATATGACGGAAACGGGCAAGCTTTGTCTGAGGGTTGCCTCCACAATCTGGATGGGCAAATCAAGCGAGCAAAATGGAAAATTTTACTCATTGTTGATAACTGTCCTGCAGGTTGTGACAGGGAGGGGCTGGAAGCATTTCTCCTCAGATTTCTGCCTCCTAACACTCCAGCTGTCCTTCATCCTCTTGATCAAGGAGTAATCGAATGCTTAAAGCTTCATTGCTGGAAAACGCTGCTCAAGAGAATGTGTGTGGCCATGCCTTACAGTGTCACACTCCTCTCATTTTTTAGTATGCTCACCGACGCATGGAATGCTGTCACGTCAACAACAGTAAGGCATGCCTTCAGCATACCTGGCTGCAGCATTGATGCTTCACCTGCAGACTGAAGAAAAGGAGGTCGACGACGAAAGCCAAGGGCGGTCTGCTCTAAAAACGCACAACACAGCTGACGACCCTGACAAATACTGATGTGCAGGGAGGACAACACAGCAGTGAAAGTGAAGGAGAACCAGAAAGGTGACAACTGTGCAGGCCTTCCACTACATAATGAGAAAATTTCTGGCAGCAACAGAAAACTCTCAGAATGAACTAGCTGCACTTACTGGCATTGAGAGGTTTGTGCTAAATGCGCATGCGACCCTGCCGTAGTGGTCTAGTGCTTATGACACTCGACTGATAACCCAAAGGTTGCAGGATCAAATCCCGGCTGTATTTTCAATGAAGGCGGAAATGTTTGAGACCCGTGGGCTTAGATTTAGGTGCGCGTTTAAGAACCCTGGGTGATCAAAATTTCTGTAGCCCTCTACTACCGCATCTCTCATAATCGTGTTGTCGCATTGAGACATTAAAACCTCGCGTATTATTAAATGCGCATGTGACAAATAAGCAGTTGGCCATCCATGATATTTTAAACAGTCTAATCAGCAGTAGATACTAGTCAATAAACTTCTTTACTTTACTTGCATTGCTTACTGTTTTTGTGTAATTAGAATCCAGATGCTTAAAAGTGTCAATATAGATGTCTAATCATAATTTGTGCTGTCACCTTATTCAGAGTCACATACTATAGGAAAACTTAATATAATTGAAACAGCCTGGCAATTGAAACAAAATCTGGAGGTCCCTTCGAGTTTGAAATAATGAGAGTTGAGTACTTGTATATGTGATATGCATTTATAATGTGTATTGTAGTACGAGTTGCTTTTTTTCTCTGTATGTTGATCGCAAACCACAATTTTAATGTAATCTTCACCTTATTTAACACAGGTCTCAAGGAGTGCTGCGCATATGGATGATGAAATAAGATAACAAAGGGTAATTCAACAAACATGGCATACCGTTAAAAACGCGTATATAATCTGGACCTGCATATACAGTGTAGACCACTTATAACGTAACCGCTAATGGTGCAGAACCGCTTGCAATGCGGTCTTTTTCTACTCCCGTTTACCCTCCCATAAAATCCTATGTATACACTTACCGCTTATTGTGCAGTCCCCCAAGATGAAAGACCAGTTATAATGCAGTTGCCGGAAATTGTTTGTGACAAACGCGGTAGCGAGTGCGCTTCCATAAGGGTGCGCCGCTGGAGAGCGAACGACGAGGCCATTAAAGAGGAGAAGGGGGACACAGTGAATGAATGAAGGGCGGAGGGAAGAAAAAGAAGAAAATTAAAAGAGATGATGGGACACTGCACGGGCTCGCCGAGTAAGGGAGGAGGACGGTTGCCTCGATCTCGATGACCAATAAGCATTTGCACCAGCGCCGACGCGGTTACAGCGTACTACGTCGCTAGCGTGGCTTCGGCCGTCGCCGCTCAACGTGCCAGGTGCGATCCCGTCCTTATCAACAGCATGCGCTTAGCAGTTTCTTGTCGGGAAAGACGTCGTCGTTATCGAGCTTGCAATAAATATCGCATTTGCTTTCTCGTCTGTAAATTGAAAACCTTTTACGGTTTTGTGACGCGAGCTTTCACTTTTTCTGGCAGTACGCTGTCGTATGTAACCTAGCTTGGCGAGTTGTCGCCGTTGCTGATCTCGCGGCCGTGAACACGAACTTCGTATCACGCACGCTGTTCTTGGTTCACTGCTAGCGCGATCTTTTTGATACCGAATCTTCATGTTTTGGACAAACTTTACGCGACAACATACCAAACGGCAAGCTAGGCCTAATCGGCATTGGTTACGCTTTGATTGGTAGCGGTCACATGAATCTAAGTGGCGGTTTGGTATAGAAGCAACGAAACTTTTTGGGGTGGCCGCATTTGACGGGAAGGGATACATATCGATAATTAAAGGGCAGCACGTGTAGCGCTCGAACAGTGGTTCGCGATTCAATTGCGATGTCTTAAACCGGGTGCGTGTCCGTGAAATCCAATGGTTGGTGCTTTCAACGCGTCAAATTCTGGATATGATTCGACATAGTTTCTGTGTAATGCGCATAATCGAGGCTATCTCTTAGTCGGCAAATTTCCACGATGGTGTTTTCAGTTGTTAGATCCCCCCCTTTCGCGTTCATTTCATTGTCAACGTGTGTCTTTGGACGTTACATTGTTTTAACATTCAGAAATTTAAATGTTAGCTAGCACGCATTGCATGTTCCGATTCTGCTACACGTGAAGCTGCATGCTCCACACATTTTGCGCAAGTGCGGCCCTTGAAAAAGGTTGGTTTAGTTATGAGAGAAAAATGTTTTCCCCCTAGTATAGCGCGACCAAAATGGAAACTAAAGACATTTACTCACACACCTATTCATCATTGTTCGACGCACTATATTCCAAAACTCCCTAGTTAAGGTTGTCCTCTGTCTGCACCTCATCTTCAATGCCATCAAGGGCACTCGAAATCTAAGGTTTGTGTAAGGCACAACAAACGAGCGCCTCAGGAATGCAGAGACCCAAGCTTCAACGATCCATTGCACAGCATCACTGGCAAGGCTCACTCTAGACCTTATCCACTCCCGTGCATGTGGTGTGATCCTTATATGGCCTATTCAGGCACCATAAAGCAGCTGCAGCTGGGATATCTTCCCGTGGTGACGCCTACCTCAGCACGCAGGATTCGTGTCGCAATCGTTCACAGAAGGACATTGAAACATGTCGAGCACAGGTATCGATAGGAACCGCAGCAGAGCTTCATTGCTCCCAGATGAATTCTAATTTTCCGTCAACATCGGAAAGCTTCATTTTTCGGCCCCCAGAAACTTTTCAGGGCACCGCACACAAGAAGGGCTGCCTTCTACTTCCCACAACCACGAACGCTTTGCTCGTCTACGCCAAACTTGATCCCTGCAGCGCAGTTGCCGATGTTTTGGCAGCCGAGATTTTTTTTTGATGAAAGGCAGCCGAATAGTGCTTTCGCGGTCCTCACATAGCGTGCTGTGTAGTAGTCTGGAAATAAGACTAATGCTTGTGCTACATAACAACCTAACGCAGAAAAGCAGAGGCCTGATTGTGATGATGATGATAGCATAATGCAATGCCGAAACCGAAACTTAGATTTCTCAGCTGATAATTCTTGGTATCCGCTTGTAGTCTGGGGAAATTTTTTGTCATAAAAACAAAATAAACAAAAAAACTCTGGCTATACGCAGGTTGTATGGTATTCTCAGAGAGAGTGGGAGATACTGCTTATTGGAGATTAATATCTTGTGAGCAGCCATATCAGAGAGTGGTGTGCGTGCTATGAGTAGCCAGAAAACTGGAGCTCAGCCTTAAACTTAGTCCGGGCTTGGGTAGGCCGACTTTTTTACATCTAGGGCCCGAGTCAGGCTCGGGCCACTTTATTTTTTATCGTGCAGATTGGGCGAGATGCTAACCCGAATCAACCTGAAAGTATAGTCATTGTGCCGGAATTGTTTCCCAGCATATAGTTAAGGGCACAAAAGATGAGGATTTGCGGTGTGCGAATATTCGAAACTTTGAATATTTTTCTAATAGTACTTGTTGTTCGATTTGATTTGCACAGGATTTTTTACAATTCGAACTTCTCAACAACAAATGCAGACAACGTCGATTGAAAATAACCTTTGAGATCTTTAATATGCTTCATTTTATCACAATCTTATATTGAAGTCAAGAGTAAGAAGCCTGTTTGGTCAGGAACAGACATGGAGACAAGTAAAACATGATGTTGAACATGATAAAAGCAAAAGGCAGCACGTGTTAATTTCAGTACGGGAGCCTTGTTCCCAAACGTAAAATTAGTCTATTCTCCTTTCTTTTTCCAGCTGTCATACGAGAGCCTTGTCCACAAATTAAATACGTGCTTGACCAGTCGGGTCATGTATGTGACGTAAGCAACGTCTGCACACATGTGGAAAGCTTCAATAATTTCGATTGCATGTGTGCGCCAGTGTCTGGATTGTTATAGTTCTTTTCCTATCCTGTTTTTCTTGCTTTATTCCAGTCTATCATGTATTTTTGTGTGTTATGCGACGCCTGCTTACTCATGAGTGACATAATAGGAGACACGGGTCTCGAAGGCGCACGGCTTGTTCGAGATCAACGTGCTGACAGTTTGTGCATTTGCCCTAAATGTTTCACGGAGATGCAAAGACATATGAAGATTACATGAAAGTGGGAATGATTCCTGCTTTGTAGAAGGCTGCCGCACACATTACTGACGACTGCACAAGCACCGTCAAGACACTGTATGCTGATCTGAACTACGGAAACCCTGGAAACATCTGGCGTGCAATGAAAAGAAAGCGCACGAAGAATGATGACGACTGCGCTCCTGAAGGCTTCTATCATCATTACGGCACTGATTTGCACCATTACCTGTTAAATATACATGCTCACCGCGTCCCTAAACTTTTTTTTCTCGTTTTCTCAAAACAACATTTTTTATCAAGTCCGAGGCCATTGCCCTCAGTATCTTTTGATCTAGTGGTTGGATATTGATAATTTTTGTAGCATTTGAAAGCTTATGCATTCATGAGTGCAATGAGACCAAAACATGATAACTTTATTAGGTACAGTGACTTAATTAGTGATATATTTAAGCAACAGTATCAGATGTTTGATAGGTTTACTTGTTAAGGTGATAACTCTTGAACTAATAAACCTAGAAACAAAATTATTGTTTTGTTGCACTCTGGGCACTTTACAGAACACTGCCGTATCTAACTTGCAGCAATCTTTTATGAGAAAGCTGTCTAAGCAGTGGGCAAAATGTAAGTTTATAGAAGAGTCAATATTTTGAAATCTCGAAGTGACAGCTGAAAACTAATGGCATATTTGTTTTCAGCCGTGAGAAATGCATATAATATAAAATTTTCAGCTCTAAATATTCAAAATAAAAGAAATGTTGGAGACCAATGTCTCCCCTTAAAAGGCCCCTAAACTACCCAGAGGTCGAAATTCACTTGTGGTAAGGAAATTGTGCACTACTGTACGACAAACACAGAACGGTGAGAGTTTTTTGCAACGGTGCCGTGATAGCGAAGTTAGACGTGTTTGATTATCGAAACTGCGGCGATTGTCTTTCTCTCTCTCTTGTGCTACCTTCCGTGGTATCCTCTCCCCACGCCGCTTGCCCTCTCACCGAGCACCCTTCCCACGCCCTTCTGAATCTCGCGTGGCATACGTCATCGCTGACGCATTGCTTGAAACACGGTTGGTTTGCGGTTGCCATGACTCCGTCCCTCCGCTGACTCCGCCAACTGCATGTTTGTTGGCGAACTGCGGCTGCCGTGCTGGCCCGTGCTTATACGAATTATGCTGGTATGTGCCCTGCGTTGCACACACGCCTTCAAAGGGTCGCCAACACAATCGACTCGCACGCATGTGCGCGGGTAACACGACCAACACTGAAAAGCAGCACGGATTAATCTGAAGTCATAAGCTCTTGCTCGACCAGTCGCAGCAAATTTGTTGCTAGGGTGGATATTTGAATGGAGCGGCAGATATACTTGTACAGCGCGTAACGCGAAGGCCTGAAGGACCACAAAGAATGAGGGATTGTTTCTTGGAATTTGTGGCGCGTTAGCGGCTCATAGTGCTGCCATGTGTAGAATCGGTGATCGTGATAGCATTATTCACATAATGCGCATGTTTACTTGAAATGTTTGAAAAATTATCAATGGTTTAGGCGGCCTTTCAACCACCTTTGCAATCGACTCACACCGTTCTACTGATGCGTGGTACCGCCATGTGAAACCAGTCATACCTAGCCAGACGCGTGCAGCATGTGCTGACTCAGCTCTCGTCGTTGCATACCGGGCCATTTGCATTCTAATATGTACACGCGTTTGCGTGTTGTTCTTGAATCCTTCACTCCAGATTGTGCTTGGTTGAAGCAAGTAGCCTGTTCAACGTGATGAAGAGATGCATTTTGCAAGCAACACGCAAGCGGCTTCGCACAATGCTTTGGCGGGGATCTTGCAAAAGGCAGCATGATGTGCTTGTACCGATGTCACTCGATCAGTTTCAAGGCAGACAGCTGAGCAGATTTTGGCAGATGACTGTGATAAGATAGGCGACAGTAGTGAAAATGGCATGTTTCGTTGCCACCCACAGCCCGCCACTTCACCTTTGCTTTTTTTCTGACGCTTATTTGTGAAGGCATTGTCACATCTATGTGGAAGTCACTTTCATTGATCAACTGCTGTTACCAACAGGCTAGAGACAATTTGTGGCACATTGTGGCATCGGCGAGTTGAGCGTCGCAGTGAACTTTTATGCGATAAAAAGTTATCACTTCTTCCGTTTATGGCTCCTCACGTTTGAAGACATTGTTCAGTTCACTGTCGTCGGCCGTATAGGCAGAGAATAAAGTCAGAAGTGTTTGGCATGCGAAATCTGACTGCAAGTTATTATGCTGTCTTCTATTTATTTTTTTCCTCACTGTTGTTGTGCTAGCGAAGAAACGCTTCGAAAGTGAGTGACCTTGCTCACAGCACCCGAAGTCTGCATGCAGTGCTTGCCGGTGTCTGTGACACCTTCATTTTCATTCTTCATCGCAAATACTAAACTGCAGCAGAGCACTGCACGTCTCACTTGCTTTAGATTGCCTGTTTTAACTTTTCTAACTTTTTTTTTTCACTTCTTATGCACCGTATCTTTACCGCAATTGTGTCGGAAGTTTCCGTTGTAAGATTAGGAAACTTTGAAAGATGTTTCCTATATGTGGCCACAGTTTCAAGGGTTAGCATAAGCAAAATATAAGGGCTTTCAGAATGGTTGTGACAACCTATAGATCGGCATATCTCTGATCGTTATAAATAAATTCAATATTATATGCTGTTGTGAATGCTGCATGAACCCACTTAAGGCAGGAGTCTTATCCGACGGTTATAGCCTTTTGTCTTTGTCTCCTTAGTGAAATTCCCGGTATTAAGATAACTTGATCTGAAAAAAAAAAAAAAAAAGAATTGACACTGGTCTTGTGCATTTTGTCAACCTCTTGCATGCTAACATGCTTGCAGCCTGACCAGTCTAAATCTTGGGCTACACGAGTCTGTAACTGCTGATAAATCACCAAGGTGGAAAGGTGGGCATGTTGGTATTCCATGTTTAAGCCAGAATTTGCAACGGAAGAAGTGATACCAGAAGAAGTGAAACCAAGCCAGAATGCGCATATATATCAGAGCCACGTAAATGTGGTGTACTTGTAGTGCAGATATCGTGCCGATGTCACCCGATAACAGCCTGTATAGTAAAGTACCGTGCCTGTGTGTCACTTCTCAAGGGAGCTTTCTTGTGGCTTTGGTGTGTCTTATTCAGTGTGACCTTACAGATGTTTGTGCAGACTAACGGCAGCTGGACACTGTGTGATGTTTCATCCTGGTGCTGCTCTGTTTGCAGGTGGACGGGGACCCGGTGTCTGGCATATGTTTTGTCACTGCGGCAAATCCTCATGCACGATCGGCGCTCGTGCTCTTCCCAGTCACAACAGCCTTCTTTGCAGCCGGCTACTTTCTTGTCCGAGGTGTGTGCTGTGTTCTCACTTTTCTGCAGGTGTGTTTGTGTACTTTCTGTGGTGTGTTGTGTAAGAGCTGGCCACATCCACTCTGGTAGCAGAATCAGCTGGTGAAGGGTGAATGATGTGGAGCATTTCCACTGCTTAAGAGAAACAGCAGAACTGAGATGGGCAAAAAGACAAAATTTACTGTAGCAACTTGTGGTCCGTGATTGTTCTGTTTTTTAAATATTTTTCAAATGGTGTTCGCTTATTCAGTTCAGTTTTTGTTCATAGAATCGAGAGTATGGCAACACACAACAGACAGAGGAAGAACCACACTGCACAAGCACTTTATTTCATTAACATGTGGTGATTTTAATCTGCCCCGAATTGACTGGGATTCGATGCGTGCCGTTCCTACCTGCGATCATTCCGAACTGCTGCTTGATGTTGTTTTTTCTTGTAAATTAGGCCAAATTGTGCATGAACCTACTCGTGTTTCGACAAACTCAAGGTCACTACTTGACCTTGTCTTTCTTTCTGAATCCGTTCAACGGCTCGGTTTTGACGTCAATGTTCTGCCCGGGATTTCAGATCACGAAATAGTACAGTTTAAAAGTCATATGTTGCCCTCAACTTCGCGGGCAATCATTAAGCCATTTAGAGATTTTAACGGTGCTGATGATGAAAGTATTTTGGACTTCCTCGAACTAGATTTCGACACCTTTAAGAGCAAATACAATAACGGGTATCTCGACGTAAACGGATTATGGTTGCACTTCAAGACGGCCGTGCATACTTGTATTTACAAATATGTCCCACAAAAACAAAGAAAGATTAACCGCCAAAGCCCGTGGATTACGCGTGACATAATTCACTTAAAACGTCGTGTTAAGCGTCTCTCCCGAGCGCCCAAAACGCCTAACGTGTTACCTTCCCTAAGGGCTGACCTATGGAAAAAAATCAAAGAATCAAAGTATCACTTTTTTAATGTTAAGATGCACGGCTTTCTTGTCACCAACCCTAAGAAGTTCTGGACTCGCATCACCCAAAAGAAAGACCCAGTCGGCAAAATTACAATAAACGACAGGGAAGTGTCCGATGCCTGCTCGATAGCAAGGGCTTTTAATGCTTTTTTCTCGTCTGTATTTGTACGTGCAACCCAGTGCTGCACTAATTTCAATATTCCTGGCTTTGACATTCCCGATATAACTATTACTGAGCCGGGAATATTTTCGGCTTTGCTCAACCTTGACCCTAAAAAGTCCGCAGGTCCCGACAGAATACCAAATGCATTCCTTTACCGGTATGCGGAGTGGTGCTCGAAATACCTTTACATTATATTTAGCGAAAGTCTACTAAGCGGTGTGGTTCCAGACGATTGAAAAACTGCAAAAGTTACTCCTGTGCATAAATCCGGCGATAAACTTTCTGTAAAAAACTACCGCCCCATATCCCTTTTGTGTACAGCCGGTAAAGTTTTGGAGCACTTTATATTTAAACACCTAGTAACGTATCTTGAGAGCAACATGTTTTTTACGAGCAATCAACATGGTTTTCGGCGTGGATTTTCCACGGTTACACAACTAATACACACGACTAACGACATCTCAAAAGTTTTAGATAAGGGGGGGCAAATTGACGCTATATTCTTGGATTTCGAAAAAGCTTTCGATCGAGTACCCCATAGCAACCTGATGTTAAAAATTCGAAACTTGGTCAAAAATGAGAAAATAACTCAGTGGTTGGACTCCTACTTATCAAGCCGGTATCAGTACGTTCAGATAGGTGACTCTGCCTCTCACTTGTCATCAGTTGTTTCTGGAGTCCCACAGGGCTCCGTCTTAGGTCGGTTGCTTTTCATTATCTATTTAAACGATTTACAGTTCGACTGTCTGGTGCGTTTCCGTTTCTTTGCCGATGACTGCGTTGTTTATCTCCCTATTGAATCGATAAATGACCAGAAAGTTCTCAACAAATACTTAACAGCTGTTAGTAATTGGTGTGCCGATTGGAACATGAGCCTCAACACAACAAAGTGCCGCCAAATGACAATAACGCACAAAAAGTTTCCATTTCAATATGCTTATCAAATTAACTATGTTGAATTAGAGGTTGTTAACGAGTACAAATATTTGGGTGTAACCATGACATCAAACCTCACCTGGAACAAACACATACAAAATATTACATCATCAGCACTGCGCAGACTTTGGCTTCTAAGACACCGACTTCAACACTGTACAAGCAGAACGAAGACCGTTGCGTACACTACGCTGGTCCGCCCCTTGCTCAAATATGCAGACGTTGTTTGGGACCCACACACAAAGACGGATTCAGCGATTCTCGAACGGGTACAAAAGAAAGCGCTGCGATTTATTCACAACGCATACAGCAGGCGAGTATCCGTGACAGAACTGCGCAAGCGTTCTGACCTACCAACACTAGAGTCCCGCCGTAAATTAAATCGACTTAAAACATTACACAGTATAGTCTATGGTTATTCAAAGCTTGACTTCAATACTTATCTCGAATTCAACATGTCGCGCCCCACCCGGAACAAGCACAACAAAACAATTCTAATGCCTTTCACGAGAACAAACGCTCACCGTCTATCCTTTTTCCCGAAAACGATAGCAGAATGGAACACTTTGCCACGCGACGTTACTAACTTAACTAATCAAAATGCTTTTTCAACGGCTATTCAAAATTGTGTATGATTGGAAGTGCTGGTCTTGTTCCCCTGTCCTATTGAACTAACGTATTTCACGTGTTATCTTGCTACCATGCCACAACGTACACTGCTTTTTTTCTTTTTTTTTTTTACTTACTTACTGCATTATTGCTTCCCTGTGTACCGCGGACCGTGTTACTGGTCGCGTGTAAACTTGTGTTTGTAAACTTTGCGTGTAAACTTTGTGCACTGTACCACTCCTGCCCTGGCTGCCAAAGGGTGGCTGGCAGTATTGAATAAACAAAACAAACAAAACAAACAAAAACATCAGAATTTTTTTATTCATACTTCTGAAAGGTAAGTATGTTGTTACGCTGAAGCGGCCTTGGGTGAACGAAGGAAGAAGAAAATGAAGTTGTCTGTCCTTGAAACAGCTCGGTGACGGCGCGACTACGCTTCGCTATTCATTCTTTAATAAACACATCCCGTTGTAACAGTTTTGGTGAGAGGTGCGCATGCCTCGCACGAAGCCTGTGTACACAAGACCAGTCCTGCTGTCCCCGAAGATTCTTCGCCCTTTCTTAATATTGCCACAAGGCAGTAGTGGTATTGGGGCATAAAGCGGTAGAGGGTCCCTGCCTGAAAGAAAAGACTACGAAGTGGGTAGAGACTGGTCCCAGCCCGCCAATGTGCCTGGCATTGCCGTCGCGTGTAATCATCGTAATTATCTGCAAATATACGTTTCCTTGTAAGATTATTAGTGGAAGTGCTGGGTACGCCTACCTGGCTTTTCCGGCAAACCAACACGGAACTTCGGAGTGGTCGCCACCTTCATTTTCCTGCAATGGCTCAACAGGCCCATCCGCAAGAGCAACAGCAGCCACAACAGCAGTCGCAGCAGCAGCCGCAGCCGCAGCAGCAGCAGCTGCCTCCTCTGATTCTCCTGCCTCCACGAGACCCCGGAACCTTCTCGGGCACAGGCAAGGACAAGGTGAATGTTGAAGATTGGGTCGCATTGTACGAGCGCGTGAGTGAATACCATAGGTAGGACCCTACGTTGATGCTGGCCAACGTTGTATTTTACTTGCGGGATACAGCGCTCACCTAGTATGAGACGCATGAGTCGGAGTTGACCAGCTGGGACGTTTGCAAAGTGAAGCTTATCGAGTTATTCAGCAGGCCATTTGGGCGACAGCAGGCCACGAGGAAAGACCTGGAATGTCGCGTGAAGACATCGACAGAATCGTTTGTATCTTACATACAGGACGTATTGGGCCTCTGTCGAAAGGTGGATGAGAACATGAGCGAAACTGACAAAATCGCTCACATATTAAAGCGAATTGCCGATGACGCCTTCAATCTGTTGATCGTTAAAGATTGCGCCACCGTCGACGCGGTTGTGAAGGAATGTCAGCGCTTCGAGCATGCCAAGAACCGTCGCATAACCCGCCAGTTTGCGCGTCTGCCTAATACTGCAGCCACTTCGACCGGCGAAGACAGCCTCAAGTTCACGCAATTTACATCGTCCGAAAACGTCACCCGAACCGTTCGCCGCGAACTCGAAGCAATGGCTCCTGCAGCCATCGCCTCCGACGGTCCTCAAGACAACGCATCCACCGTCTCCCTCATCCAAGCCGTCCTTCGCCAAGAAATAGCAAATCTCGGCATCGCACCTGTTTGCGCTGTTCACACTACCGAGAGCTCGGCTTCTGTTAACCAGATTCCGGTGTACCCTTCACGCTCCCCTTCCCGCTACCGGAACCCTGCTGAATGGAGAACGTCGGATGATAAACCGATCTGCTTTCACTGCTCTCGCGCCGGCCACATTGCACGCTACTCTCGCAATCGTTGGACATCCAATTCATCTTGGAACACTGGGACATGGCGTCCCTCAACAAGGCACTACCCTCTGAGAAGTGTCAAGCTCTGGCGAGCGTCCTTGGCAAGCATGCTTTATTGTTTGATTTCACCCAGGACGCTACCAAAGCTTGTGTTCCCAATACGCGGACTCGCCACAGAATAGACACAGGGCTTGCGTATACCATAAGGCAGAAACCATATCGCGTGTCAGCAAGGTGATCGCCGAACAGGTGGAAGACATGTTCGCTAAGGCGTCATCCAAGATTCTTCGCCCTTTCTTAATATTGCCACAAGGCAGTAGTGGTATTGGGGCATAAAGCGGTAGAGGGTCCCTGCCTGAAAGAAAAGACTACGAAGTGGGTAGAGACTGGTCCCAGCCCGCCAATGTGCCTGGCATTGCCGTCGCGTGTAATCATCGTAATTATCTGCAAATATACGTTTCCTTGTAAGATTATTAGTGGAAGTGCTGGGTACGCCTACCTGGCTTTTCCGG